GAGGAGGAGGAGGAGGAGGAGGAGGAGGAGGAGGAGGAGGAGGAGGGGGAGAAAAAAGAGGAGGAGGATAAAGAAAGAAGAGTAGCCGCAGTTAAGGAGACATGGGTAGTGTTGAGTGGGGGACAGGCCTCTCCGGTATGATTACTCCGCTCCGTTTCTTGTGGGTTTCTGACAGTAGGGGACTGTTGTCGTCCTGCGCAGAGCAATTGAGTGCTGGCAGCAGCTGCAGGGGCTTGTTGCTCACAGGTGCATGGCATGGCAGCCTATTTCTGTCGTGCCCCATCATACTTGCAACCAGCCTCTGTAGCAACAGCAGCCTCATCCTCTGGGGGGCAATTACCGTAGCTTGTGCACGAGAAACAACAGCTTCTCCACCAGCAGTGGGGGCTCCCAGATGGCAGCCGGGTTGGCAAGGAGAAGAGTGCAAGGATGCGCAGAAGACAGATTCTGCATCCATTCAGGGCTCCCAAACACAACAGAGGATGAGCAAGTGATCTGCGAATCGTGCAGTGGAAACAGTGTGTGAGGTGAGCGTGAAAGGAGCAGTTCGCCCACGCTTGCGGGCTTGGATAGAGGTCGACCATCCACTGCGCAAGGCTCTAGGGGGATTACCCCTGGCCAGTATACACCAGATCAGAGGGGTCACCGCAGCCCCCAAATCTGCAGAGGGGTCACCGCAGCCACCATATCTGCATGATTATTTGCGGGTATTCTCGAAATGAGCGAGGTGTTCCGTGAAGATGCCAGTTGGCTGGGCTGATGGACCGGAGCATCGTGTTACATTCTGCATTACACACGGGCCATTCCAGGCCCGACGACAGGACCGAGGGGCTACCTAGGGCCTGGACACGGTAGTCCAGGCCGGTCCGGCCCGACGACCGGACCCCTTGTTTTCCCGCAGGCCGCCCCGTCGGCCCTTGGACAGACCCAGGCGGGAACCGGTCCAAACGACATTACCATTTGGACCTGGCGGCCGACTTTGAGGCTGCCCTCCCCGGGTCTGATCTGAACCGCAGATCGGACACGAAATCTGACGGTTCAGATCACAAGGCACTTTCGCAGCCTCAAGGCCGAACAGGCCACCGCCGGTACTTAGGACCGACCGGCAGCCTGTTCAGCACGTTTTCTTACTTTGGGTCCACAATCTGGGAGCCGGCAGCCGAGAGCAGCGGAGCGCTGCGCTATTGTTTTCTCAGCGCAGCGCTAGACAGCAGCGCTAGGTGTAGCGCTGGCTGTGGAGAGAGAGAGAGCGAGGAGGGAGACTTACCTGACAGCCACTGCGAGCGCCATAGCTCCCAGCGGCACAGCCGTCTCCAACAGCAGCCAAGGCGCCACCTTTCATCATCAGGTAGGGCCTAGGGCTACTCGCCATCTCCACCGATCCTCTGCCCCTCTCAGGTCTTCCTCTTCTTCTTCTTCTTCTTCTTCTCCAGACCCCTTCTTCCTCTTCTTCAGATGAGAGACTTTGGGTACGAGATGAACAGAGATCAGTGATTGGACTTCGGTGGTAGGAGGATGTGATACTTACCAGATTCGAGACATTGGAGATATTTGGGATTGATACCTGGCGGCATCACAGCTCGGACATCGGTTACATTAGGACTCTGTACCTCCGACATTGGTGACTAATGTCAACGACATTCTGATTTTGTTCCGTGACATTTTGGGCTACTATATCGGTGACATTCGGGATCCTATTTCGGTGACGTCTGGCGCTGTCCCTATCTCCCACCTCCATCGTCTCTCCTCCCACCATTCATCTGTGTATGGGTGTACAGGGCTGAAGCATCGTCTATGTATGGCTTCAGAGCCCACCATCTCACGATTGTTTGTGTGTTGAGTGACGTCTAGGTGAGTTCAGTCTATGTGAGTCAGTCCATATCTCAGACTTCCGCTGCATATATGCTCATCCTATATTGGTTGATCTTTGGTTCTGCCCATACTTGGTGAATGTATTCACTAGTATGCAACAATTGGGAGACATACAGGGATATCGAAGTATTGGAAATGTCCATGCCTTGGCCGTATTGAACATATGCCAATGCAGATTGAAGCATCTGGGTGAAGCGAAAGCACATATTTCAGCAACGCAATAGCAGCATTCTCATCTAAGGTAGGTGTCTCTCT